GATTCAAGAAGCATCACATCGACAACTAGCGGCGGGAATAGTAGGCTTTTGACAGAAGGGCGGGAGGAGGAGGAAAAGAAGGGCCTTGTGCGTTTTCGATGTACAAAAAGTAATTACGGGATGGTTTCCGGTAATCATATCTAGAGCGCATTGAATGAACGCATTGTTCAGGCACCCCTTCACCGATATGCACTTGTACGCGGCGCACCCACCCCTGTCTTCTCTCCTCCTTCGTTCTTCCACAAACCTACCACTAGGACTTCCACCCTCTGGCGTACTCTAGCGACCGCCACTGCACACGTACCCTCTCACTATTACGCACGCTCGCTCACCCCCGATGGTTGCGGAGGCTGCGGTTACACCGCAGGTTGTTCTTGTGTTCGCCACGGGACGCACCACCAACGGTGGTTAGTGCCTCTGGCGATCCGAGATTTTTTCGTTACTCCCTACCCCTGTGTTACCAGATCCCGCAAGGTTTCTTAAAAGCGGGGTGCGTATAATACGATCGAGGTGTTCATCCTCTGTCACACCCGTAAGAAGATAATGAAAAATTCGATTATATTCATAAAAAAAGTCAATTGATTTGACAAATTGCAACTTGAAAAATTTATGTATAAAAATTTGTTTATATTTGCAATTTTTTCTTAAACAATATTTTTATGTATAAATAAAGAAAAAAGCCGGATTTTTTTCTTTCGACGAAACAAAATCTCAAGATATCAAAAACGGACGACAACGTTCTCGGGTTAAACGTAGCGCGAAATTCGATGCGTCGATTGTAGTCTAAATCTCTCGGCGACATACACGACGATGTCTTAACGGTCGAAGGTTACGTTTATTGAGCTCGGTTCAAGAGCGCAAATACCAGCGTGTCGCTCGCTCCAATCGTCCGCAAGACTCTCTCGGTACCCTCATTTCTTGTTTTTTACTCGCTTGCCTGGCTATTTGCTGTCTGCTATTTGCGTGCACGTGTACGCACGCAACCGATCAAAAAAAAGAATCGCGCTTTCCGTCGGTAGATCGAGAGAGGCCCGAATTCCTCGCGCTCGAGTCACGCGCTGAAGATGCCTTCTCTTAAACGAGAAGATCGTTTTACGCGCCTGCTTTGGCTCGACATCGATTGCGACGCAAAAAGCAACGAAGAATAATTGCGTGATCAAAATATTTTGTGATAATTTATCGGCCTCACTTAATAAAATCAGATGAATCGATGATGTAATGTGCAAGTTGCTTATCTTCGTGTTTTCACGTACTTTTGAAGTGTTTGAGATAAAAGAAATTTGCATACACTTGCGAAAGAAAGAGAAAGAAAGAGAAAGTTAAAAGTGTAGTGTATAAACACCGACTTATCAAGTCTTCTTGATTCGCTCTCTCCGCGACCGTCAGCATTTCAAAACAAGTATCTGCAATAACACACTATCTAAATATAGAAGTGCAAATAAGAAACAAGAAGTCACGGAAATTAGTGAAACCAATAGTCAAACCAATCTTTTTCTCGCAAAACTAAGAGGCAGAAAGGTAAGTTTCTGTAGAGAAACTTAGATGCAATTGGAAAAAATCACAAAATCAAGAACCACTGAACAATATGTATGTCATTGATTAATATCTGAACATGAAAGACGTGAGCTCAAGAGTGAAAAAACATCGGATCCCGACAGCTTGGAAAAACTTCGTACGGACGACACATTGCTGCAAGAGGAGAACGATGGAAATGGTAAGGGAAAGCGAGATAAAGAGAGCGAGAGAGACAAACGAAGAGAGAGCAAAGAGCATGACAAGCGAGGCTGTAGGGGCGCAGGGCTGCGACCCGACTGACCCTACCTCGATGCCCCGGCAGCCTTCGAAGCCCTCTCTAGCCCTACTCCGGGCACCCTTACCCTCACCCTTAGCCCCCGGGGGTGGATGGAAGGCGGGCCGGCCCATTTTTCGCGCCCCACTTGACTCCACGTCCTCATTGGCTGCCGCCCTCTCGCTCTGACCTCTCTTCCCTCGACCGCCTCTGACATCGCCGGGGTGGACGACCGCGTTCTTTCTACCTGGCTCCTTCTTCCGGGGGAAGAAAAGAAGAAGAGACGGCTAAGAACCCGAAGGAAATGTTAATTGTTCGCCTTTGGATCGCTGCGTCGATTCGCCAACCGGCTAATACACTCTCAGCGAATTCTCCTTACCACTTTTTTATGGTAATGGAGTTTGCTCTTTAGAAAATGAAAAAAAAAAAGTGAAGAAAGAGTTAAATATCAAAACAGAGAGAAACATTTTTCTACACATTATATATTAAAATTATTGTTTGTTGTAACGTATTCAGAATCGGAACGATAATCGGCGAAAATAATCGCAGACGGATTAAAATAGAAAAGGGAAAAAAGAAGCAAAAAGAATCGCACGAAATTGAAACAAGCTCGAGATGAAGTTCAGAATCGAATACAACATACCTCCTCCTAAAGAGATAAAGTTGCTTGACAAGCGCTTAGAGGTGGCGACGACGATTCGTAGGTAGCTTGGTCGCGGTCGGTTTGATAAAAAGCAGTAATATAATCAGCAGGTTGAAAAATCCGGAGAGCTCGGTCCGCGAGAGAGGAGATCACGAGGCGAATGGCGGGACAAGAGAATAGGTGCACAAGGGAGAAGGAGAAGACAAAGAAAGACGCGCGATAAGGAGAACTGCCAAGCACTTGTTCGCGAAGTTCGCGTATGAGAAGAAAAAGTGAGATGAAGAAAGGATGGGAAAGGGGAGGGCGAGAGAAGGACGAATAGACTGACGGCGGATGGATAGATGGATGGAGAACGAGAACGAGCGAGCGAACACGGCATCGATGCGCCGAGAGTGAGACGGCTTCAATCGAAGGAAGGAGACTCGCTTTTCGCAAGCGCGCGCGAGAGAGAAAGAGGGGAAGCGACGACTAGACAAGGAGTCAAAGTGGGAACTACTTGGTCGGGCAAAACGCGTGCTGGTCGGTCGGGGTAGGGCAGGCCCGTAGCCAATGAGAGGCCGACCGGGGCGCGCCCGGGACTCGACCCCACCTTCGGTAGCCATGACAACCGGTTAGAACCTGCGAGAAACCCTCACGGGTTCGCGGTGGTGGGAGGCTCAGGTCGGTGTCAGGGGTCGCCTTAGTCGGCAGTCGGTCTCTGGTCGGCCCCAAGAATAGTCGTATCGAGGCGGTAGTCGAGTATCACCTCTCTTCTCCTCCTCCTCCACCTCCTCCTACTACTACTATTACTACTACTACTACACAACTACTACGATACGGGCTGCTCCTGCTGCCGCCGCCGCCGCCGCCGCTGCCGCTGCTCCTGCTGTT